AAATTTGATCTTTTTTTTGTGCATAATTTCTGATTATTTTCCTTTTTCATTCTTTGTTGAAATTAACAGAATCGCATAATTTCACTTTTTTGGGGCGCAGTTTGCATAATTCCAGAATTTTTCTTGCATAACACGACAGGAACAGATAGAGGTGATGGTTAACCAAAGTAGGCGGGAACTTCACAGTTGGCGCTTCTGCTTCTGCTCACGAGTCGGACTGGGATAGTTCTGGCCACGCCAGTCTGCAGCTCAAATCTGGATACACAAGTGGTGTAACTGCAACAGACAAATGGTGGGGAAAAAAGAACGTGATGAAAGGTGAAAAGCTAACTTTATGTTCGTTTTCTTTTTCTTCTGTTTTGTTGTTGGAGTTTAGGTGGGTGGTTGGCGGGTGTGCTGGTGTGGTGTGCTTCTTCTTTCCTATCAAACATCTATAGTCTTTATCTCCTCTCCTTTTTTGTATGTGTGTTTGCTACTCTCTAGTAACACCTCCAATCTTCGGCACTTACATGACCTTATTTTGTTGCAAGTGCCGGAAAATACTCACTAAAACAGGAGTTCAACTCTATGAGACATTTACAGGTGATAGGTTTAGCTGTGATGTGTTTGCTTGCACGATATTATTTAACTAGAAAATGGAGCACAAAACTATACAGTGTAGGCCTTAATGTGAAACTATTTTTACAATGAAATGTAATAAATTATTAAAATGGAAACAATGAGCAAACAAACCCACAAGCATAAAGAAACTTTTAAACTAATCACTTAGATTAATTATGCTCAAAGCAATAGATATTTCAGATTTATTAATTATTTTTCAAAGAGAGATCACTTGTTTTTATTTGGATTTAAAAAAATATCCATTTGTCTTGAATACAAGTCAAGATATTTGCAAAAGAAGGAAATGGGGGTCACCTGTTTTCAGAGGTAAAATTAATGAAAAAATGGCCGCCAAAGATTAGTTATTTCCTTAGCCTAAGAGTCCGTGGTAACTGAAAATTTACATTTCTTGAGCCTTTAATCAACGTTTTTCAGAAAAATCCACACAGAAATTAGTTCTTCAATGGGCAAGAAAGGTGTTGAGCCGAAAAACAAAAATGTTATAAAAATTCACAAACCTGCGGAAAAATGCAAGTTTCTTCACTTTGATTATTTTGACCAGAGCCTGATTCCATCACGCTGCCTCACAAATGCAATCTGTTATTATTATTATTATTATTATTATTATTATTATTATTATTATTATTATTATTATTATTATTATTATTATTATTATAGATTTTAAAAACAACACAATATGAGCGAATTAAACACTAGACATTTCAGTTGCTGTTAATTATTTGAAGTGTGCCTGCCAGATTCCAATTTGCCTCATTATAACACGTTATAACACATTCACTTTTTTCTGCTACAATACCTTTTTGAGTTTATGCCGGACTTCAGGTGGACGGCAGAAATGACATGGTTGTTTTTTCCATGCGCGAAGAAGCCAGGGTCCTTGACGTATTTCACACGTATAGATTGTACCTCCCCGACGTCTTTGTTGAAGAGCACTAGATTGTCTGTGACGATTGAGCCGTTAAGATATCTGTTTCTGTTGAGAGAAGGAAAAGTGAACATCAACTCAGTTCTCTACCTCAGAATTACAAAGATTTTTTCTGCCCAGTATCTAGTTTTCATTTGCAGAATATGACGGTATTGGTAACCGGTGATCAAAGAATGTAATATTGGTATCAGTGTCGCCATAACAGTTCGTTTCTCTGTTGTTATGCGCGACTTTGAAATCCTTTTTATTTCTTTAGTTTAAAGTGGACACCTCTGATTGCTTTCCGTTGGAGAGAAAGGTATACAGCAAAAAAAAAAAAAAAAAAAAAAAAGGGGAGGAGGGTGGAGGAATATGATTACTTAAAAGCACAAGGAGAAGATATCCAAATGCTAAGGAATGACTGCGCATCACTGAAGGAGGACATCAACAGTGCAAAGCAGTTGGAATACGAGGAACTACCATACAACTGTACTATAGTTGAACCTGTCCAAGACGACCTTCCATTGTGAGGTGAAAAGTGGATGACTTAGACAGGAGGTTCTCTTGGACAAGTTTAGTAAAATGTTATACCCCCCCCCACCCAGTATAATAAGATTGAGAATTAAGATTAAGATAATACTGTAGTATCCCAGAAGTAATTTTTTCTTGGCTGTACATGATGGTAAAAACACATGCAGGTATACACTGACTCTGCAAACGAAATCTCTACTGACGAAAGGCAACTCAAAAAAAAAAAAAGAGAGGCTTATTCACTTGATGGTCACTCTGGTATAGTTTGTCTCCCCTTGCGTCCCCACCAGAGCCACGTAGATGGTGCCGTCTGTCCTAGAGGGCGCGTCCTCGTGACCTTTGACGTAGACGTCGAAGTGGTTCCCGCAGAAAGGGGCGTGGTCGTTGGTCATCAGGTACTTGCCGCCGGTGCTTGGGTGTTTGTTGGCGAAATAGCCCGCGGAGCTGCAGCCGCCGTTGCTACACGTCAAGCAGTTGCCTTTCTGGAATTCCTCCTGAAGAGATTTGAGGGTGTGGAGGGGAGGCGGAAAGGGGGGGGGGCGAGCAAGGAAATGGTGGGGAAAGGGAGGGGGAAGCAAGGAGAAGGTGTGGAAAGGGAGAGGGGGGGGGGAGAGCAAGGAGAAGATGTGGAAAGGGAGTGGGGGTGGGGGTGGGTGGAAGGAGAAGTGTGGAAAGGGAGGGGGGGGGTAATTGTTATTGTCATTGGTGATATTTCGGACAAGGAAAGAGAAAGAGAGGAAGGCTGAGAAGGAGATGGGAGGACAACATTACAGAGTGGACAGGAAAGACGAAGGGTGACAATCTGAGGTAAACAGAGGATTAAAATAGATGGCGAGAGCTGGTTTTCAGATGCAGTGGTGCCCCCCCCCCCCACAGTTGCCCCATCACGGGATAGAAAAAGAAAAAGAAGAAGATATTTCGTATACGTGGTTACGGAAATTGGACTCGTAACCGAGAGACCATAGATTCGAAACCGACTGGCATGTCGTTTAAACTTTTTAAAAATCATCATCATCATCATCATCATCATCATCATCATCATCATCATCATCATCATCATCATCATACTATAGATTGGTAGAGTGGGTTAAAACTCCCATAAAACATTTTCAAGCAAGTGCTTGTAGTAAAGGGGACATACTTCTGTTGTCTGCGAATTTCACTATCTTTTCAGCAATAGGAAGACCACTTTTCACCCATAGAAAGACCACTTTTCACCCATAGAAAGACCACTTTTCAGGTATTTGAATCATCTGTCTCCGACCCTGCCCCTCCCCCCACGCTATGGCGGTATAATCAAAGGTTTTCTTAACTGTTTCTGGATTTGCGCTACTTTTTACACACGTGGGTTAGGTATCGTAGTCTTTTTTAAAGAGAATAACAAACAAACAAAAAACAACCAACCAACAAACAAACAACTGCTTGCTGCTTTTTCTTTCCTATCAAACATCTATCGTCCTTATGTCCCCTTTTTCTTTTTTATGTTTATTACTCTCTTGTAACATCTCTAATCTTCAGGCGCTCATATGACCTTATGCAGTTGCGAGCGCCGTAAAAGGTCTACTAAAACTAAAAACAAACGAACGAACAAACAAACATACAAACAAATAAAAACACACGCGAAAAACCAAAACAAAACCCAAACTTACGTAGCTTTTGCAAGGGTACGACAAAAAGGAACACCTTGATTTGATCGACTCGATGTAAATCTCGTGGACTCTTCCGTGACTGCAGGACACTTGGTGCCCAAGGCTGCTCAAGAATCTTTTCTCTGGGGATTGAAGAAATAAATTGTGAGGAATCTTGGTGAAATCAGGCACTCGTCAAAATAATAAAATCAAAGAAACTGGCGTTTTTCTGGCCGTTTGGCAAATTATTTTCTAATTTTCTGTTTTTAGCTTAACACCTTATATATCGGTACAAACACACATTTATGCATGGAATTTTACTGAAAAACGTAGATTTAAGGCACAACATTAATAAATTTCCAATTTCCAAGGACTCTCAAGCTATAGAAATTACCAAACTTTGGCGGCCATTTTCTCGATAATTTTACCGCTGAAACCAGACGACTCTGACCTCCTTCAATGACAACTATTTCAACTTTTATTCTACATTGATGGATATTTTTTCCCACCAAAAAGCAAGGCAAATTAACAATCTTTTAGATGATACCAATAACCGCATATGACCTACAATTGACGAGCGCCTGATTCCACCACGCCCTTCCTCAATTGTAGATGTTCTACATCCCCATTGACAGAATTGAGATTATTAGGTCGCTTTTAAGGACAAGCGGGCAAACCCAGATTTGGGGGGGTTTCTAGAAATTTTGA